TAGGAGAGAAGGAGAGAGGAAACAAGACAGGAGAGGAGAGGAGGGCAGGGGAGGATAGGAGAGGAGGGCAGAGGAAACAAGACAGGAGAGGAGAGGAGAGGAAACAAGACAGGAGAGGAGGGGAGGATAAGAGAGGAGAGGAGAGGAGAGGAAATAAGATAGGAGGGGAGAGGAGAAGAGAGGAAGGAAGAGGAGAGGAAACAAGACAGGAGAGGAGAGGAGTGGAGACAGGAGAGGAAGCCAAACAAAAACCAGTGTACATGTGTCCTCACCAGGCCGGTGGAAATGCTGCACTGTGTTCTTGATAGCGGAGACGTGTGTGCTGGGCATGTGTGGCACATTTGGTGTGTGTGGTGTCGGGGGAGTGTGTGAGTGGTGTGTCTGATTGGTCTGGAATGTGGAGCCAGGGGAGGATCCTCCAGGAGATCGGGTCTCCAACCAGTCCTTGGACAGGTTCTGCAGACACAGAGGAACACAGGGGTTAATGGGAGACCCTCAACTGGACGGGGTCTGCTCAGAGGCCAGGACCCAGTTTCACCTGGTTCTTCATTATTTTTTAACAAGAGCATGAATAAAACTTATGTAAACAAGATTCACACATATGAACATGAAGAGGAAACATGCTGGCTGCATCTCAGGTCTCCTATATGATGCCTTTATCTAAAACCAGTTGGTGACTGGATGGTTCAGGTGAAGGATCAGAGGAATGATGTCTCATGTCTCTTTAAACATGTTTCCTTGATTCCTCTCTCCTCACATTTTTTCTTTGCAGCTTATATGGGCAGGACTAAGACGCAAGAAAAATTCGCAAATGGGGGAAATGTGGATGCAGTTAAAAGAACTGGTATCTATCCAATGAGAGACGAGGAGAGAGGAATCAAGGAGTTGGACACAATGAGGGGATCTGGTCCGGACAGAAGAGGTTTCCTCCTCCGACAGAGGAGACCTGATGCCTGTCGTCTCTGTCACCCAGTTGTAAATAGGAAGAGTGAAATCTTTAAGATGAACTACATCATGACATGTAGAGAGAGGGTCCTACCTCAGGGGAGGGAGGAGGAGAGATGGAGCGAGGAGACAAGGACCTCTGAGAAGAGAAATAAAAGTAGATTAAACACTCAAAAACAGATCCAGACACCAGTGAGCTAACAGCACAGCAGCCTGTATTTACAGCAGCTATCAGATTGTTCTTCGGTGGCTTTTGTGATTTTTCTAAATTTGCTTTTAATGAGGAGGTGACATGCAGTGGGTCACGGCAGAGTGACCCTGAACACCTCTCACATCCTAGTTGTACTGAGTCAGTCACTGTCCTTGCTTCTTTTCTCGTTATTGCTTTGTCCATAGTCTCAGGTGTGGTGACGAGACGCCGGGTCTGTAAGCAGCAGATTGATGTCTCATGCTGCCAACAGAGCCCGAAAAACAAAGCCCCTGCCACAGCAGCTGCTGTCACACCGGCTCGCCCTGCTTTAACTGCCGCTCTAACTGTCGTGGTGATCGGTGCAGTCGGCAGCCAAACCACAACAACTACCCTACTGGTGTTTCTAGAACACTCCTCCACCTCACACAGTCCAAAATCCTCTGGCACAGAGGAAGAAGGGACATGAGGCTATGGATTCGCAATCTTGTTCACTGCTGGTTCAGATGTGCACACCGGATTTGCTCCCATAAACAAAATGCATACTGTAGCATCAGCAGGCTTATGCTTTGAAAACATCAGGTGAAGAGCACCACCTCCAGTGGACTGTAGCTGTAGTGCGGCTGGTAGATCATCAGGTCTGGCCTCTCTATTTCCAGGATGGCTTTGTCTCTCGGTAAGGCTGCCAAGTCCTTGTAGCCGATAACCCCGTCCCCCACTCGGGCCTGGAGGGAGACAGAGCCAGAGGTCACAAATTACTGCCTCAAGATTAATCTGAAGGATCATATGACGTGATCTATGCATGTCTCACCATGATGGCGGCAGCAGGGGATCCTGGGCTGCTGGAGCCTCTCAGCGACAGCACACTCCCTGGAGACGTCTGAGCCAGCTGCTGCTAACACACACACAGGGGTCAGAGGTCAGACCGCAGACTGAATGAACGAGGATGTCAGCTGATGAAGGAATTAATATGTTTGTTTGTTTTTTATCCCTCCAGAAATAATCAACACCTGTGCCGCTTCCAGAATCATTTCAGACAAACTCGTGATGAACATGACGACGCTGATCCACCTTCAGTGTTCACATGTAGCTGCTTCGCACAGAGCCGTCGCTCACATCAACACTCAAACATCAGAAACATGAAGAAGTCAGTGAAGGAAAGCTGATGTTTACCTTGGGCATCATCCTGGCTGCTGATTGGTCGCTCCCTGAGAGAGACACAGACATAACATGGTACTGTGTCGTGCACAAACTGTATATTATGGGACTTTATACTGTGAGTAAAACTACATGTTAATGACAAAGTGGAAATAGAAGCAGGTGAGTCAGCTGACAGCAGGTGTTTGGCCTCCCTGACGGAGCGGAGACAGTGCAACTCCCAGAATACTCTATTGTCTGACGGACACAAAGTGACAGTTCCAGAGTCTGATTCGAGGTTTAGCACACAAACACAAACACAAACACACACACACACACACACACTACGGAATTGTGGGTGACAGGGAAAGCCTGCACACACTCACGTTACCTCAGGGAGAACAGAGGACCATGTCTGTGTGGTGTGTGTTGGCAGTTAGCAGCAGATATAAAGCAAACTGGGAAGACAAGCTCCATTAGTTTTATCACATCTGCTGTGAGGTGAAGAGCAAATACTGTGCGCTGGAGACAAAGTAGACAAGTAATGGAGAACAGTACAACATGCAGTATCCACTTATAGTGAAGCAGAAGTATAAAGTAACATGAAACGTAAATACTGAAGAACGTAAGAGTACCTCAAACATGTACTTATATATGATACTTCGGTTAAGGTACTTGCCACCACTGGTATATTTAGTGCATCAGATGTTTTGGTAAAACAAGATCTGCAGTTGTCCATTATTTTGAACAGTGTTTACAGGTCGGCGAGTGGTGAGTACTCTAATTTCCATTTGTCTTGAACACAACAAAATCACCTACACGCATGCTTTGTGTGTGAAGAACGACCAGAGACATCAGAAGGTGAAAGTGCCCACAGCTCCCAGTGGCAATGACGCGTCACCCAGTCAACCTCTTATTAACACATGAATTATTCAGAGTGCAGCGACACTGGAAACCAGCAGACATCAGCACTGGGGAGACTGGTTGGAGACCATCTGAGGCAGATCTGCCAAACAAACCGGAAATCTGAAACACTAGAGAATAAAAAGGCTCTGCTATGGCGAGACGACGCCGTCAGCAGGGTGGGAGGTTTACCTTCCAGATCTTAACTGAGACAAATAGCTGCACATGATTTATTAAAACAGAGCCGACGTTTTGAAATCATGTGAGTTTACAGCATGTCCTGACCAGCGTCTGTGATTTCAGTTTGACTTGTCTTCTGGGCCTGTCCTTCCTGAATAACTGACAAGAAGGCATATATACATAGAGAGACAGTGAAGAAAGTGTTCACATGTACACATCCAGTTAACCAGGCACTTCCTGTACCTACTGGTTACTCTTAAGACTCAGACTTTTAAAACTGAGCATGTGGAACGCAGGACTTTTACTTGTAAAAGTACTTTTACACTGTGGTATTTCTACTCTTACTTCGGTACAGGACTGGAGTAAAACAATATAAAAACAAAAAACAAACTAACTGAAAACAGCTCAGTGAATCACAGCTGTGTTTTTTCTTTCTTCTCCATGAATCACGTGATGACCCCTCAGATTTACCTGGTGACCCACTGTAGGGGCCCATGCCCTAGGTTGGGAACCACTACATCAAACCAGCTCCAACAACAAAACATGCTGCTTACACTCTAATAATGTCACATGTGGTAACAGGCGCTTCTAATTTTGAAATGATATAAAAAAAAACATCTGGAAGTCAGGAAGTCGGCCAGAAAAACAGCGGTTGGAACAACGGACTCTGTTAAATAAAGTATCATACAGTTTGATACCGACAGCGAAACTTAAAGCTCCTGAAGGGAAAACTTGGCGTTAGAAATAGAGACACAGTGGAACCTCAGAGAGAGATCTGTCTCTGGAGTGAGATCAGTTACTGTGTGGCGACCTGGTGATCAATAAGTTGAAGGAATCAGGTGTCAGATCCGTGCAGTCAGACAGAGGATGGAGCCTCCCTCGGTGCCGGGGTGGACCCCGTCTCTGCCGACTGCCTGTCACTTAACTCATCTAAAAACTAAAAGATGACCCGTGGTTGTGCAAACTGTAGAGACGAATGCTGCAAGAGTTTAAATCTGAAGACGTGCCTGACGTGTTCGCCGTCGGCTGGGTTTCTTCAGCACAGATTTCACAGAGATTCGAGGAGGCAAAAGGAAGCAGAGCACTGGCTGCGTCACCGTGTTACCTGGGTTCATTTTCACACCTCTGACAGAAGCTGTGAGAAAACAGAAAACAAACAGCCTGGTGTGCAAAACCTATGTCCGGGTGAAGCTGCTGCAGGACGACAACCTGAAAGGTTTACGTGTCGGACTGGACTCTGTGTGTGCCTGGTCCTGTCACAGGTCTGACTCCAGACCCTCACACCAAGTCGCTGTTAAGACTCAGCAGATAAGTGAATGGACTTCTGAACACAGATTGCCCCCCCTCCCCCCCACTTGTTTTCTCTTTAACATCCCACGCTGAAGCTCTGCAGCTATTTTCAGATTCAGGTTTTATTTCCAGTCAGTCGATGCTGTTGCTAAGTGATGGTGCCAGCAGGAGCTTACCATTAAGATCGGCTCTGAACTGACGAACACTGAGCTCAGAGAGGTTCTGTGTGAGGCACAAGAAGATAATCACATCTGTTTGACTCAGCGAAGCTTGTCACAGATGGGGTTTACCAAGTGGTATTTCTTCCCAGATCGACTGTAGCTGACAACATCAACAGCTGTAATGCAAAAGGTAAAAAACTGTTTTCTGACCTGTGAACTCTGTGACTAAGATCTGTTTATGTGCAAAAACTCTCAGTTAAGGTTCAGGAAAGACGGCGGTCAGGGTTGGAAGAAACCAAGATGAAATTCTGATGAGAAAAAACAGGATCCATCAACATCTCTGGAGTCAAATCAGACACCGACTGGAGGCGTCCAGAGGCTGAGGTTTATACAGAGTTCACTGGGTAGTAACACAGGGCCGGCACCATGAACGGCCTCCACCAGGAGGGGCCGGCAGCATGATGGGCCTCCACCATGAGGGGCCGATACCATGACGGGCCTCCACCATGAGGGGCCGGCAGCATGAAGGGCCTCCACCATGAGGAGCTGGCACCATGATGAGCCTCCACCATGACGGGCCTCCACCATGAGGAGCTGGCACCATGATGGGCCAATACCATGAAGGGCCTCCACCATCCAAAAAATGTGACACCATCCGACAGGGCACTTTTCCGGAGGATTAGTGGTTCGATTCCCGGCTTTTGCCGGCCACATGTCGAGGGGGCCT